TCGATCACGGCATGGTAATAACAGCCTTCGAAGAGTCTCGAGCTCTATCTGACTCTATCTTCAACTTAAACTTAAGCACGTGGAGCTGCCCAAATGTCCGAGCCAAGGACGAGGAAAATCGGACGCCCCATCACATCCTCCAGGACTACAGGACATCTTACACTTCGACACGCCACTCCGAGGTGTCATCTATTTGGTGCGCCAAGCCACACTCCAATTCTTAAGCTTTAGCCAGCCCTCTTGTGGTTTGACGCCTTAAGTCCTTTCAATCGCAACTACGCAACTACTCCCTTATCCTGCCAATGGAATTCTTCCAGCAAGTGACCTACTGTAGGGTCTCCTCGATGGGACTGGCCAACAAAACATTGCAGAAGTGAAGGAATGAATGAGCAACATGTGGGAGTTACAGTAGATGCCCGAGGACCCGGGCAAAGCATGACCATTGCACTGTATGTATCTGTGCATGAGGTGCACTTGCGATGAAGTATCTTGCGCTGTTATCTCATGTCGAGGACAAGTAAATGCACATCGCAATGTATGCATAGCTACCGGTTCACTGATTCAATTATTCTTGTGATGTTTGGTAACATGCTCCCGGCACTTGCTTAACCAATCAAACCTAAAGCCTGCACTCTCCACCACGACCCTTGACTAGTCTTCCTGCCTCTAACTCAAATTCAAAACGCTAAGTAAACCTCTACCACCTTATGCGAGCAGACGCGACCACCACCAGCGNNCCCCCCCCCCCCCCCCCCCCAGTACATCAAAGTCGCACTATCCCCTTAGCCTCTGAAACCGAAACCCTTTACACCTCTGTCCACCCGGAAGTCTAGCTGAATGGATGCATGAAAAGGCTTCGATTCTTGAGCTTGGCAAATGAGGTGGGCCTCGGATTGGGGGTCTAAGTGTAAGGCCTCAAGCACTAACTCGCTCAGTTCGCTGGCCAAAATAAGTAAGCTTTCAGTTTTACAGCTGGTCTTTTGCCCAAAAACTTTGAAGGTCCCGGGGGATGCTACAGCTTGAAGCGGTTTCCGAACTGGGGAGTTCGGGGCTCTGCGGAGCTTCTGGGTTTGCAGGCCCTCCCTTTCATACATTTGAGTCGTGTAGGTGCAGGCCGCAGCTCAAGATTTTAATGGCGGGTCGAGATGGTTATGCTTGGGAGAGCGGACCCAAAAGCCGAAGTTGCTCGCACCATTCTAGACTGAGTTTCCTGTCAGGTGTTCCAACCCTTCGATCCTTTTCCCTGATTCTCGAGAAGATGCACTACATGATCGAGAGTTGTTCAAACTCGCCCGCACGAAAGCACCATTACTTACTAGATTCTGGTTGGAAGCGGTGAAGTTTAGCTTGCTTCGGGCTCTCAGGGGTTTGTGTTTCGGACCTTACTGCCTTACTGCGGCCCTTAACCCCCTAAGCCCCAAACATACCAAAGCTTCGGCTCTTGGTCGCTTGCAGCAGCACTCATCTGAAATTCTTTAACCCTGAGCCGGAAAACCCCTCCCAAAATTCAAAACCCCAAACCCTCAAAACACGCACAGTAAAACCTCTTATAAGCACTCCAGAAGACCCAAATTAAACTCCTGAAGCCTAGAGCCCAATACCAGCACGTGCACCTCAAACGGGGCGATGGCAAAGCCCAGACTCAGCCAAGAGAGGTCAGGAGGCACGCCTCTGTTTCGGCGCTCACACTCGGACACTCCAGGCGAGGCATGTGTCTAGGGTTTCGGCTCTCGCGCTCTCAAGGGTTTTGTTGGTCTAGGGCTTAGGGCTTGGAGCTTCTGGTTGAAAGATTTGGGGTTCAGGTCTGCTTTCTTTTTTGCCCTTCTTTTCTGTTAGCCGGAACGCCAAGCTGGCTGAAGGAGTGGCAGGAGGCAGCTATTGCGAGGGGATTCCCACCTCACACCTCACAACAATCTCCCCGACTTCAGCACTTCCGCTTTTGGCAGCACAACCAAGCCGAGCTCCAAGGCTGTGTCGGCAGATTGACCGCGGGACCGGCGAGACGGGAGTGAAAGAAACGAAAAGACATTGCACAACTACACACACTCCGCATCTCTCAAATCACCACAGCCACCTCGCTGCTTCATACTCACATGACGTCATCACCATGATGCTCTGCTCCTGCCAACTAGAGTCAACGCGGCACTGACCGAGGAAGGGGGCCATCCTGACAGCTGTACTCAAGAACGGCATAGGCATCTGCCACGAGTTGGTCTCATCTCCAGAATTAATTAAGAGCACACTCGGACATGTCTTACATGAGCGACCATCTCGTACAAAAACGGCTTGAATCGCATCTCGAAAGTGGAGTCTGCACTAATCACTAAGACGTGCAGACGAGTCAAATGGAAGTTGCGCAGTGCCTGCCGAGATAGCAAGAAGTTCTGCCCACCCGAGAAGCAACTCCCACGCATTTGACATCCCACTGCATGTAGTCAGGGGGCACTGACAGATGTTGCAGCACACTTCCGGTTGACCAAACCCCGCAACCGCGACACCAGGCGCGCGCAAGTTGGCGCCATTGCTGTCGGTCATGTGCTACCTCAATGACGGCCCTGGTGATTCAGGAACTTGTGCACTTGCCTGCCGAGCTCCTGTGCATGCTCGGCATGGGGATAGCTGCCCCACTTCTGTCCACGACACGGCTTCTCTCGAAAGACGCTTTACACTACGGAACATATGCCCAATCAAGAGCCAGTGCTGCACGAGTGCGAGGTGATCCCAATGTTTGCCGTACGATAATGTTACCCACAGCTTGCACGCACGTCTGAGGTCACAGAGCTGATTCAGATGCCACCCGCAGGAATGAGGGCGGAGCTGAAGCAACCACTGGTGCACCGTAATCCCTTGCATATGAAGACTTGAAAAACTGGAGCTTCTGTTCAATCTTGGCGTGGGGGTGATGGAACAAACGCTTTTTGGAGAAAATGGCTGAGACGACACGCCGACACAACTCCCTTGCAAACCTGAGCCCAAGATCAGAATCATCTTGCATCGACAAGAGCACGCCAAGGACAATGCACTGACATCCGCACCTAGCCTCTCGCAAGACCTGAGGCAGAGGGGCCCCTGGAGGCCATCCCAAGACTTTGGCTTCGCAGGCCGAATTTCGCAAGCACTCGCCCAACTTCTTCAAACAACCTGGCACTTTGAGCAGCACCCGTGAACACTAAGGTGGCATCATTTTCAACAAACTAGATGTACCAGACCAGCAACACTGCAAACTTGAAGAAAAAAGGTTCCCGCGCTCCATCCATGCATGCTTCCGTCTGCTAGCCAGGATACAGCTAAAAATCAGGGAAGAGTGGCATCCACCCTGAATGCATCCTCCCTAGAGCTTTTGTTGCCAAGTGTGTGCATACATCTGATGCGTCACATGATCCAACCAGACAATGCTGACAGCGACTTCGGGCTTGTAGAAATGCAGACATGTCCACCAACCGTGACACAACCACGGCTGTAAACTCACTGTGTGGCCATCAGCTTGGTGATCCACAAGAGTTCGGCTTCTTGGCTGGAGGGCTTACCACCCATCTCGCAGGGGCAGGGCCACGTTTGCATCACTCTTCGGGTCGTGCTGCGAGTTTGGGGATGAGCATCGCCAGGCCCTTATACGAATCACCACGCAGGCATGGGCGACGCAGTATGCGCCAGACAATCGTAGCGAGCTGCGGTTAGGCGTGCACGGTGGCAAGTCCTTTGGGGCACTGAGCTTGTCTCAAGAGCAACCGTTTACATGCACCACCGCACTCGACAACGGGCTGGGGCCGGGGATGCCACCCCTCCTAATACGAGTCGCAACCCGAGCATGCTCGAAGCCACAGAGGGTATCTCCAATCTGCTCTGGCCATTTTGCGGGCCCTGAAAACCTACACAGAAAGATGTTTTTGACGGGGGGCGCTCATTCACGAGAGACCTTGTCTTGCACAGCTCCCGCACGGCAGGAGGATCAACATAACTGGGACACCTCCGCCGACACGAATATCGTCGAGCGAGATGACCAAAAGCATCAAGCGGAGCTGTAGCGCAAAATTCTGAGATGACGGTCTCAAGCGACCACTGATCCCTTACAAGCATTTAGGGTCTGCGGATCAGGGTTTATCTTGGTTTTGGGAACACAATAAGAGATCAGGAACAGCGCTCATCCATGTACTAACTTGACAGGTGCAGTTTGTACATTAACAAAGCATGCTGACGATGTATACTACAAACTTGGGGCTACTCCGACTTGCATAAACCTCAACACCAAATTGGATGGCAGGGCTGATGCAAGCAAAATCTGTGCTGATTTATACTGGCAAGGGCTTTGTCGTGGGCGACAGTGCTGCAAGAGTTCAGATTTAAGTGCTTTATCCCGCCCTCCGCTTTGCTTCTTCTGCTCAACCCACTCTTCAGAGACTTGCGTCGATCCGAGTGAGCAGCGGGGTGGATGGCAAGGCGTGCGAGTCAGTCAGAAGAGCACGAATGCCGTGACACTCAAAGCAGTAACGACTCCATCATTGCTATGATTTCGCTATAACTTATAATGATCACGTCAGGGTTTGGACAGCAAATTGGCGGCGCTGCTGCAGGCACCATCACATCCCACAAAAGTCCTGCTAAAGTAGCCTTCTAGGTCCTGACATCGCTGGTGTTGCAGGGCGAGGTGTGGGTGTGGGAGAGAGAGAGAGAGAGAGAGAGAGAGAGGCAGAGAGAGCGAGAGAGAGTGAGAGACAAAGCGAGAAAAACCAAAAGACCCACAATCTCCCTAGGTCCCGCATGAAGAAGATGGGCTCCTGGAATGCTTCAGATGGCTTCCTGACTTGTCAATTCAAAGCTACATGCTGCATTGAGAACCAGGATTGTTAGCTGTCTACAGAAAAAAGTATTGGCGTGGCATCCCGAGAAGATTTCCCAGGAGACACGGTTCCAAGCAATGACTTGCCCAACGCGCAGGTAGACTTGTGTATTCCTTATACAAGCCATGGCAAACCGAAAGTCCCAGAATGGCCAGATGCAGCCTCCACGAATGCTCTGTCGCCACGCCACGTACTTCCGGACGACCCTCGCGCGAGTGGACAGTTCGGGATTCTGCGAGGGTGGTTTGGCTCCAGTAGCCTCCGGAATGCCTAACTCGACTTCATACCCTGTGAAGAAACTCAACTGGTCGTGAAATTGCCTTACATGATTTTGCGGCGTAGCATGCTGTATAATTATGCAACCTTATACCGGCCCAATAAGTTCTATAGGAATACGTAGGTATTCAACATCATATGCCTACAATATATGCTGCAAACTGAATACTAAGCTTGTTAGGTATGATGTGTTATACATTGTACATTGCACACTACATATTGTAAGCTAACCGTGTTTTGTAGATTCGTAGATTATGTGCTACATCTCGTAGCAGTAGCATATGCTAGGTTAGATCACTTTGTAGTATATTGCGGTATGTAGAATGTGTTATTTGTGCCCTTTGTAAAATAAGATGACATGTACGTACTAAAAATAGCAGCACATTTGCTTATTATTGCGTACTACGACTCTCACTTTAAATATTTTACATTGAATCCTATATCACATTGTCTACTATACAGTATCATGATATTTACTGCAAGTTACACAGTATCGCCTTTTACATGTACTGTAAAGTCTTCCGCACGATATGTCACAATTTCCTTTGTATATAAATATGTATTGCTGTAGTACAGCCTAAAAGTATTGTGTACTATGTGGTTGCATGTGGTACTATGTCAGGTTTATTAGGATATTCTACATTCTTTGTTACTGCTGAAGATTACTTCATGCGTGTATGCCTTTCTTGTGTTAGCCCATACCTATTACCTTGGGTCTTTGCTCCTTCTGTTATGTCCTGACTGGGTGCTACACATCGTGCTGCTATCTAGTTTGTTTGACGGTATGTCAAACAATATTTCCTAATGTGCTATATTGTGAGACAGTTCATCGCAATTCAGTTTAGTATGCTGTCATCTACAAGACATTCTGAGGACGTACATCATGTTCTCTTGTCCCGCCCTTTATCATTTGACTTTGCCTTCCACCACGATGTACTAGATCATCTCCTACCCTATCTCTTTAAACTATCTTGTACCAAATCACTTCATATCATGTCTCATTATATCATATCAAACGATGCTTTGTATAAATGTTGTTTTTGGGTAGGCTATGCCAAGTTCCCAATCTTGTAACGTGTCACACCATGTTTCCACTCATATTGTATTCTACATAATAATAAATAATCTCTACTATGATGTATCACGTAATTTTTTGTATAATTATGTCTGAAACTGATTTTTCGTATATGTACTGCCCTCTACAATGTACTGCGTACTCTATATGTATATATACACTAGATACTCTATCTGACACCCTACCGTACAGTCTATACACTGTACTGTACAATACTATACACTGTATACTAACACAATCTACTACTATATACCAAATACCACATGCCATATAAACTACACGCTGTATAGTTGGTGCAGTGGCTGAAATCAGTATACTATCTCTAAGAGTACTAACGTATACTTCGAACTCTTGCTGTATTTTGCCCCCTCGCACTCCAGTATACCTGGTAGCATATACCATGTACGATAAACGATATACGGCATGCCATATACTATAAACTGTACACTGTAGACTGTGCACTTTGTACTATCTACGCACACCGTGTAGTGCATCCTAGTATATTCTGTGATGGCACATGGCTTTATGTGCGCAAGAGATGTGACTCAACATCGCAATTACAACTTCTTGATTCTCTGAAATCTCTTGACTCTCTGAAAAACCACGGCCACTGAACACTAAGGGGCTCGGTGGTCTTGCCGAGGTCGAAGTCTGCTGCTATGAGCTGACGTGACATGAACACCTCAAGACTTACAGATTTACGGTCTTGGATGTTTGGATTTAGATTTTCGGCTTTATTTGACGCGTCCATCAAGGTTCTTGGTTGGTTGGTTTTTGCCATGTGGCTTTCTGATGTTGCATCTTGATGCTAGGGGTGGTGTTTGGGCGACGAAGTTGCTGAGCATTTGTTGCAACCTGCAGTATCCAACTCTGATTTTCTTTGGGCGGTCAGGTGTAGGCCCTCGAAACACAGCGTCTCAAGCATACAAGCAAGCATTTTCATCGCCAATTGAATTTACAAACCCAAGAAACCCTTCCATTGGCCATCAAACACAAGAGGCAAATCTTGAACATGCCGGAACCCAAAACCCCGCGGATTCAAAAATTTTCAAGCGCCTGAAGTCTGAACAGCGACCAGGGCGCATCGTCGAGAGGCTCAAAGATCCTCCCGTCCTCTTGTAGCTCGGCCTCTTCTTCGATAAATTCTTCTGCTGAATGGGGTCTGCTTCGAAGAGGGGGGAGTGGAGAAGCTTTGATCTGTTCGGAGCGGTTGGAGATCCGTCCTTAAGAGTTTCGGCAGGCCCTACTTTCGAAACACCCTGAGCCCCGCTTGGTCTTTTCGTGAGGGAGCTTTAGGACAGTCAAGGGAAGTACCGGAGATTCATATTGCTTTAAAATTACTGTTCTCAAATTGCTTGAGCGGATTCTATGCACATCAAGGTTATGGAGCACAAGTGGCCGTGCCTCGAGATTCTCGCAGGCTGCACGCATGTGCCTGCTTGCTCTTACTTCGGGATCAAGGTTTAGGGCTTGGGGCTTAGGTTTTAGGGATACTCGAGGTTTCTAATTCTAAGGTTATGGCTTTAGATTTAAACTGGCTTTGGCTTGAAGGGCTTTCTACGGGGTCGTGTGCAGCTGGCTTGCATTGGAATGGCCCCAGCAGCACCTCTGAGCTGTTTCAAGACTCGTGCGGGGCAACCCGCGTGGGTCGGAACCAGGATGCAGACTCTCAAGGCACAGGGTCTTCCGGCTTGTTCAGAAGTTGGTGGCTCAGGGTTGAAAAGGCAATTTGGGCTTTGCTGCAGGCTGGAAGCAGCCCCAAACATGTTTTAGTGCTGGTCCGCTATTGCTCTCAGTCTTGATGGCCAGCGGTTATGCACGAAGAAAGAGTTACGATTGCAATGCTTCGTTTTCTATCGCCTCTTTGCTGAGGTCTGGGGTAGTCGAACTACACTCTCGCAGAAGCTACAACTCTCTCAAGCCGTCAAGATCCGCACCCGACAACAAGACCATACAACACCCAAGCCCACCTTGAACCCCAATCGCCAAGTCCAGCTGCGCCTCAATCGCACAATCGCTTATCACTTGAGCCGAATCCGACCCCCACAAACAAAACCCCGGAGAACCTGAGCGAGTCTGCCACATTCCGGGCAGGGAAGAAGTTGCTTGGCCGGGACTTTCCTGAGGCTCAGATAGGAATTTTTTGCGACAAAATGACTGCCGCCGTGGTGGGGCTGCACAAAGAGTAGAAGTAGAAGTAGGAGTGGGAGTAGAAGCGGGAGTAGCCACAGCAGTTGCAGCAGCAGCAGCAGCAGCAGGGGTAGAAGCAGCAGGAGCAGCGGGAATAGCAGCAGCAGTAGCAGTAACAGAAGCAGCAGGGGGAGGACGAGCAGTTGCAGTAGCAGCATTAGTAGGTTCTACCGTCATCTAAAAAGCGGCACGTGAGACTCGGCGCATACAGGAAGGCCAGCACCAACAGGCAACAACAAAATTCGCCAAGAATAATAGCAGCTGCACCACTAGTAGCAATATCTGCTGTGACTCGATGGGAGCACGGCTACTAATGTGTCGACAAGGGCCTTTGTCAATCACCCCCAACATTATCACAACCATGGTCACCATCATCATCGTCGTCGTCGCCCAACGGCGCCACCATCAAGACCATAAGCCACAATCGCTGCAGTGCTGCCTCAAGTCTGTCAGCCATGTACTGACACACGCGAGCACATTGTCACAGTCCGGGCTGCCCTCTCCCAATGGCGGCTTGGAGTGATCGACAGCATAGATGCGGGTGACCTCGCGTTCGAACCTGGGCAGCAGGGGCAAAGGGTCGCTTCCAGGGTTTGAGGCTACAGGGCTTCGAGTCGTAGAAAGTCAGCCCTGGCCGTGGCGAGTAATAATGACTGCTGCTGCTGCTGCTGCTGCTGCTTCTCGTCCAGGATTTGTCCATGTCGGTCCGATGCACCCATTTGACAGACTTGATATTCACGCTGCCTGCTTTATCAAAAGCGCATTGTTTTGTTCATGCACGACACCTTTTTGGTACGGCCATGTGGGATTTTCGAAAACCAAGACCCTCGCAGGATCCTGATTATGAGGACTCAACTCTAACAAACACCATGTCATTGTCGGCCACGGGCCTTCCAGGAGGACTCGGGAGCTCAGAAGCCTAGAAAGCCTGAATAATTAGATTCGAGTGGGGTTTCTATCTTGTAAGTATGTGAGCATGTGTGTATATATGTATACATGTACGTACATACATACATACATACATGCATACATGCATGCATACATGCATGCATGCACATACACCTACACCTACACCTACACATACACATACACATACACATACACATGCACATATACATACACATACACAGACACATATACATAGACATAGACATATACATAGACATATACATATACACATACATTTTTTGGCTCCCACGTGGCACTGTCGCAGATATACATATACATATACATAGACATATGCATATGCATATGCATATGCATATGCATATGCATATATATATATACAAATCATTTATTTCTCTATACCTATACTCAGGAACCTTAGTTTTTAGTATCACATTACTAGTTTTTGTTTGCGGGCTGTGATATCGCAGGTTAGGGGATCAAGAGCGTTGTCCGTAGGCTACCTTGTGTCGAGCGGGCTCCTGCGTTGGGCCACCGTGGCAGAGGAGGATTCATATGTGGCATGCTCGGCATGCCATCATCTTGCAGTGTCTGCAGGAAGTACTCCTATCCATCATTGTTTGGTGACATATTTTGGGCTCCATGACCAAGATCCTCTGCCAGTTTTGGATTCCTCCTGTCTGTTGCTTTTTGCTCCGGTTCCCGACACTCATGAGCTGTTCAGGGGTCCTCGAGAAGCGATGCAAAACAGAAAGACCATGACACCCTCTTCCTCGCCACCCCACCACTATGCATGTACTCCGTCGAAGGCACACGGAAGGAGAACAGCTAGCCTGTCGATCTCAGCACCAACGATAATGATCTTAAACTCGGAAGGCCTAAACTGCAAGCCGCAACACACGAAGTCAGACGCAAAGAACCCCATCTGTCCTACAAGCCCTCGTAAAATCACGACGGGGACAACCCCCAGAAAAAGAAAACGCTCAGCAGCTCATCAAGCACTCATAGCAACGGTGCGGAACAGGATTCAGGGGTTGCGTCTTGCAAGTGCGAAATTCTCCAAAACACCCCTGCCCAACCCATCCCGCCCTGCCTATCCATGGCTTGGCCCTCGAAGAAGAGCGGGGGAACAGAGGGACCTCCCGATGGTCATGGGATAACATGGTTTCATAAGGGCTTCGCAGGGCTTGCTTGTTTCTGGGGGCTTTTGGGGTAGGGCTTCACGTTGAAGCAACCGTGAGCATTCTTTTCAACCACAACCTCTGGCGGCAGGGTGTGGGGCTTACAGATTGAAGAGCCGTGGAGGATTTAAAAGATGTCCGTGACAAAACCCCGGCACCGAAGATACTGCTGTATAGAAAACAATTACAAGGTAAGTCTCGGTTTACGAGGACCCTGGCACGCAGTGCCTTTTGACTGAGACACCCCGATAATAAAAATCGCGGAGCTCGAAGCACTGCACCTGTATATGGCATGGAATTGTCCAAGGTCAATATATATAAAGTCTTCAAAACCAGAGCCCAAGACTCCCCGGCCACAGGCCATTGGACCCTAACCGCCCCAGAAAGCACTTTTGAGCACCCAGGCATCCCCCCCCAAAACTTTGGAACTTTGTCTTGCCCCCCCTCGGGCCGCAGAGCTTGAAGCTGCTTGGCGGCATCGCCCGCACACGCGGCCTTGGCGCCTGCGCCGGCTTTACGCGACAGGGAAATGCGGACTTTCAAGCATGCTCGAGAGCATCCTGTACAAATCCTACATCCTAAGCACGGAAGCTTAACCTCCCGGACCTCCAAAACGCAAAGCCAGCAAAAAGGAAATCACAAGATGGACAACTGCCGGAGGCCCCATAAATAAAAAAAAGGGCCTCGCTCTAGGCTGAAGGCACTTAGCCTTTCAAGCATTCAGAGCTTCGGGAGTTTCTGCTCTCTGAGGCAGTCGGAAGGCTCTACAGATCTGTGCACTGAGAAATACTTCTTGGTCCAGGTGCCTCTCGGAAAACTTTTGAGCACGATGGGGTATCTTACTAAGGACAAAGTGGAAAGTTGCAAGCATTCTGTGTCATGACAGTGTCTACGAAGTCCAGACACAAAACAGCGAGTGCGAAGACCCGATGCGTTTGTTTGGAAGGCCACGGCCGCTTTGAACACCGAAAATGCTCCGGGCTCGTGCCCCGCCTCCGGTGTCCCTCCAGTTTGAATCAACACTTCGACTTGAACAGGCATGGTTCAAGGGTTACTCTCAACTGGACTGATTATGGGATTGTCGTCTACGATCGGTCGAAGCAGAGACTGAGATAGAGGCACGGGAATGAAACGAGCAGAGACAGGGGAACCGTTCCAATGAGACTAGAGAGGCTCAACAATCCAAAGAGTGACGCGACTGGTTTAGGATTAAGCGCGTGACGGCGAAGCAGACGTGCAGAACTAGCCGCTTGGGCGTGTGCCATGGCGTTCAGTTGCACATTGAAGCTGCCTCGTTTTCCTACTGTGGTGTGCGGCGCACCTCCCCCCTGCCTCTGCACTCTCTGGTGGTGGTTCGCGCCTTTCAGCTAGGTCATCACGTCGAGGAGCTCAGAACGGATGTTCCGCACTTGTGCCCGGTCTGGCGCCAATTCGTTGAGGACCCCTGGCGAGTTGGATGATGCTGTTCCAAGCATCGTCCTCTGCCAGGGCCTTGCGCTTGAAGCAAAGCTGCAACGTCGCAGGACTCAGCCGATAGAACCCTGGGAGAGATAGCGCTTTTTGCCAGCACAACAGTGGAGGACGGGGGTTCCACGTGTCGCCCATGAACTTCTTCGAGTCGGGCATTTTGCAAAACAGTAGGGTATCAGTATTGTTCCAGTGTGGGTCGGGTTGAGCGATGCAGCAAAGCCCAAAACCTGGGAAAGTTGATAATGGTAAGCCAAAGAGAGCAGTCAGGAGCATGAGGCCTGAAACCCTTTTACTCTAAAAGGATCCCCTTCGGCCGAAAATCCGAAACCCTAGCTGGCCCCTAGGCCAAAACCAGCCTTTAAGCGAAACTCTGGTCCACTGCTTTGCTCTCCAAGAACCGAGCTCCGACAGTCCCGAACAAGACAAAAATATCGGTCTGAACAGTTGGAAAAGGGTCTTTGGGCAGTGTTTGGGCCTGATGTCAGACCCAAGCTGGAGACTTTTACCGCATTCTCCGACCATTGCAGGCACAGGGAACCCAACCAAGACGCTTTAAAGCTGCTGAGAGTCTTAGGCTTTCTTAATTAGCTTGGGTCCCTGCAATCACAGGCCTGGTGCTTGGGCGGTTGCTGTGGCCTGACTCAGGGAGCTGCAGATCGTAGGTTTTGGCTTACGGGCTCGGGTTTTAGACTCAATCGTAGGAAGCCATGCTTTTGCAGCAAGGTGTTGGGAAGAATGAGGCTTGAACTAGCGTCCTCCACCCACGTAGCGTCAGAGCGAGAAAACATGACTAGCAAAGAATGAAGCTCTCCGGACCGGCAATACCACTGCAAGATTGCAAGGTTCCTGGGCCAGCTCCACCTGGCTCCCAAGACCCGCAGGCCAAAGCAACCCGAAACTTCAGCTTTCTCAACATACTGCCTATGTGCAAAACGTGCTAGTTCTTGGGCGCCTTTTGCGAAGGGCAAGTGCCACTGCCAGCAGTGTACAAGCAAACACGATGAAGGGGCGCCGCTCACCTTCACAAGGAACAATCATCCACCATCTTCAAGAATTATCGTCACCCCCTGCCCCATGAAAATGCTTGTTTTAACACTATCCCCCAGTCTCTGTAGTAATCGTGACATGCCCCGTGTCAACAAACAAAAACCACGACGCAAACCCTACTACCTCGCAGCCCACCATCGTCAACAGTTGTCAGCATCAGCATCATCATCATCATCACCATCATCATTATCATCATCACATACAGTCGCCAAAATTGCAGTCCGAAGATGCTTGGGAGAAGCTGCTTTTAACCACTGTTTTATCTTTCGGGTGCTGCTCTCTTACACTCCTGATACTTCCACTACTATTGCTACTTCTACTTCTGCCTCTGCTGCTATTGCTTTTGATACTGTTGCAGCTACTGCTACTTCTACTTCCACTTCCACGTCTACTTCGACTTCTACTTCCTGCTGCTCCTGCTCCCTCCTCCT